GGCACTGTCGGTCTGAGAGATTGTACCGAGACTGCACTTGGCACTGTCGGTCTGAGCGATTGTACCGAGACTACACTGGGCACAGTCGGTCTGAGCGATTGTACTGAGACTGCACTGGGCACTGTCTACCTGAACAATTGTATTGAGATTGGTAAATTGAACTTAAGTCAAGATGATAATGCTTGACTTTGTCAAAATGGACTTGCCTGTAGGAGGTTTTCTATACGACTGTCTATTGTGTTTGTCTTTTTCTGTTCCATATGAGCAGTGACATTTAGATGTGTGTCGAGGATGTACAGATGTGTATGTGTACCTTTGTCTTTACATATGTGCATAGGAGTGTCAGCGTGTGCATATGTGTGGCTATATGTTTAATGAGTGTATATGCTTGGAGTGTATCTATGTGTGTGCCTGTATCCTTGTGCACATGAATGTATGTGTGTTCACGTCTGTGCAGATAACTTTCTGTATAGTTAGATGTATGCACTTGCATGTTCTTGCCTGTTTTGATACATGTTCTTCTGGATATGAACATTTGATTATGTGTCTGTGTTGCCAATGTGTCATCTGTCTGTGACTATGTCTCTGTCAGCACATGTCTTGTGTTTCTCTGACTATGTCTGCGTGTGTGTGCACACGTATGTGTCTTGCATTTCTGTGTATTTCTCTGAGTTGTGTGCCTCTGTGTGTGCATGTATCTGTGTGTTTCTGTTTGAGTATGTGCGTGTATCAGATGCTGTCACCTGAGTGTGCCAGTATGTCTGAATACTACTGAACAATAAGCAGAGTTGTAGTTGAGCAGTATTCTAGCAGAAGCACACAGATATCTTTCACAGTTGTGTCTGTAGCCAGCGGTTCACGGCAAAGGGAGTGAATGATGAATGAGCTGGTCTATTGCATGCATGAGGGGAAAAAAAAATGATTCGGTCCATTGTATTAGCAGAACGTGAGATATAGGAGCCAGACTGGACTGAATGGCTTCTCACTCCTGTCCTGACATTCAATAAAATAGACATCTACTTCAGGTTGCCCTTCCTACCCTATCTCCATAACCCATAGTTTCTTGGTGTTCAAAAATCAATTAACCTCAATTTTGAATCCACTTATGACTGAGCTGCTCTCTGGGGTAAGACTGCTAAAGATCCTGGGGAAAGACATTTCTCCTTGTCTGTTCTTCAGGCCACAAACAGGGCATGCGACCGAGAGCCTTTAAGTTGGACAGAGGGATGGAAACACTTAGGGAGGAATTCCAGAGTTTAGGCAGCTGATGATATGGCCACCGAAATGGTGAGAATGGCATGAACACAGATCTCAGAGGGTTCCAGGGCTGGAGGATGTGACAGAGACAGCAAGGCAGTGGGGGAGGGGGGAGAGGACTGTGCAGGATCTTGGATCAGAGGTGTAAGATCACCCCTCATTCTTCTAAACTCCAGCAGTCCAACCTGTTCAACCTTTCTTCACACAATCAGTCTTTCATCCCAGGAATGAATTGTGCGATCATTATCAGGACCACTCCTGGAGTAATTATGTCTCTTTTTCTTCAATGGAGAAGAACAAACCTCTCCACAATATACCAGATGATTTAGGGCAAAAGTAGTAAGCATCGTAGTCATGTCACTGCAGAGTAACACAGCTGCAGGCTAACATTCTGAGGGCAAAAGTTGGAATCCCAGGATGGCAGATTGTTAAATTTTAAGTCAATAAATTAAGGAAAGATCTGGAATGCAAAGTGAACATAATGGTAACCATTGCTGATTGTTGTAAAAACCCATCTGGTTCACTAAGGTCCTTTAGGGAAGGAAACTGCCATTCTTACCTGGTCTGGCCTACATGTGACTCCAGACCCACAGCAATGTGGTAGACTCTTAACTGCGCTCTGGGCATTTGCAGATGGGTGATAAGGGCAGGCCCAGCCAGCGATGCCTAAATCCTGTGAATGAATCAATGTAACTGTAGAAATGTAGGTACACAGCAAGATCCCACAAATGGTAGCATGATAATGACTAGCTTCTCTGGTTTTGTTGGTGCTGATTTATAGAAATGAATGTTAGTGAGGACTACCTGCTCATATTCTCCAACATATCAATAGAATCTTTGACAATAACCAGATACAGCCTTGATTAAAGGTCTTGTGTAAAATTGTACTTTGATTGGTGAATGATTTAATGGGGCAGAAAAGCAAGGAACATTCCCAAAACATCAAAAACAACTCAACAGTTAGAAAGCAGCTGGTGTAATACTGGTTTATTGGCAAGATGTCTCAAAAGTAAAGACCAAAATGTTAAGGTGTGTCTACACAGTGAGAAACAGAACATGCCGGAGAAACTCATCAGGTCTGTCTGTGACAGAATGGATACAATTGTAAAATCATACAGTCTTGGAGGAGGCCATACAGACCATTAAACCTGTGCTAGCTCTTTCAAATAGCCGAGATAACAAGATGTAGAGCTGAATGAACACAGCAGGCCAAGCAGCATCAGGGGAGCAGGAAGGCTGA